ATTCCATAAAGCAGGATTCCTCAGTTAGCCAGATAACTTAAGCCCAAAGATGAGGACTGTCCAGTGGGAATGTCCCTCTGCTCTTTTCTTATTGAACAGGCTTGACTTTGGGCTTAAGTTATCTAGCTAAACTAAGCAACCCTGCTTTGTGGAATATCCCTCAGATCTAAATCATGATTAGGGTATCTGAAAACTACAGAGAGGCTGAGCAGGAGGAGGGAGGGGCTTGCGTTCAAGAGGTTCTCTTACACATAATAAAAAAAGCAGGCAAGGAACATACAGGGCAAGAAAAGTGTGGTAGATCTGTCCAAAGGAGCCACACATTCAGGAAAGAATCAGCAGAATCAACAGGAGAGACACATTTACAGCAAATCACCAAAAGTCAACCCATTTAGTATATCTGTCAGCTGATTTATCTTCACACTACAGCATGTCTCAAAAGTAAGGCAACCCTATTAAAATGAAAACGGTTTGGCAGTCGGTGATCCAATTTTAGACACAAGCTGTGGGGGAGGGGGGAAACCTGTTAGGTCTTGTCACCAACATGGTGGCCATCTTGTATGCCGTCATCTTGGATTCAACTTCAGTTTTACAAATAGGAAGGTAGGTGTGTGACTCATCAAACTGTAGAGAATTTTACCAGCATTAAAATGAACCCAATGTAAAGTGATGCATGCAAAACCCCTGTGTTGATTGAAGTAGTCTGTTATATCGGTGCAGCAATATGCACAAAATTTACTTTTACTTTGTTCGTTGATGATCTTGCCTGCTGGCAATGTACAAAATGTACAATGTATGGAGGCATGTTGAAAATAGTGAGTTTAGTAGACCATGACGGTTAGTGGGGCATTGCCCCACTAAATGACCAGCTGATGCCAGAGAATTTTTAACCAGAGAATGCTTTGACTTTTTAGAAGAGGATAAAAACATTTTCAGATGCATTTCTAAGTATGTCTTATACTGTGAATCAACTGCCTGAGAGTCTAATTGCAGTAATCAGACTGTTTTTAATACCATCTTTTTGTAGTTACGCAGCTGACTATGAATATAAACAGCTTGTGACAATCTAGCAATGACTTAGTGTACATTTTTGTGTGTTCTCTTTTTTTTGATGGTACATTTCAAACATCAAGGGCAACTTAGTTTGTAAATCTCAAATATGGATGAAATTAAAATACCTGTAGTAGTTATAATGAAATGTGTGGCAAAGTAGTAAAGGCAGTTTTACGAGGGGGGCTGACTTTTGTCATTTTGGTGAGTAATATGGCATTCCCCCTGCATCCCCTTCAAATCAAGCCCTGACTATTAGAGGACTGGATCAGTCCCAAAAAATCAAGTGTGCCCTCATTGTCACTATCACAATCATATTTAGAAGCATTAGCTGGGTTGCCATTCCTTCCAAAAGAGTATACATTCATTAGACCAAAAACAAATTTGAAAGCAAAAAAAAAGGCAAGGTTCTCGAGAGGTCAACAATTTACTAAATGATGTGCTCTGCATATCTTTTATCAAGTAATTACCCCAATAATGAAGACTGAGCATCAACTGAGCCAAACAACTGCTGTTTCCATTGAGTTATAAACATGAACATGAGAAATATTGCACTTTTGCGCCCCTCGATACATGCAATCTCTTTCCATCTTTCATGTGACTGAATTCTTTCACACTTCTCTCACATTTGGCACCTTAAGCAAGCTTAGCTTCATTAATGGAATGATGTGAGTGAACAGTAGCCTCTCAGCATGACTAACAAATGTACTTCTGCTGTGTGTACCTCAGCATAAGATCAAAGGCTGTCTTTAACTCGACCTAAGTATGAAGGTCTTTGACCGTCATTTGGCTCCAGAGGCAGCAAAAGCAGAAATAATTAGTGTGTGATCTTCGTCTACATTAGACCAAATAGCTCCCTTTAACATCCACTGTTACGTTTGTAGTCTTTTAACACACATAAGTGCTGACACGAACAAGCGGAGGCTGAATAAAATGGTTAAAAGGAATAAGAGAATACAGCACAGTGTATGACCTCAAAAGCCTGAACAAAAACCCAATTTTTAAGCAGTTCACATCTTGAGGTCATTTGGCCTTGTGCACATCAAAAGATTGATTGGTCAAATAAGAAATAATAAGAAAGAGAGAGAGAAAGAGAAGCCAAAGGACTTTGAGGGGTCATTGTGGCATCATCTCAGACTGGACTCCAAACCTCATTTGTACTCAGGGAAAGCTACTCCAGACATTAAAGGACTTCGTTCATTCATACACATAACCCTGATCAAAGTCTTACATCCTGAAGCTCGCCCTTACACTTTTACAAATAAAGGGGGGAAAAAAAGCTTCTTTGGAATTCTGGCCTAGAAGAACCACTCAAAGTGGCTCCCTGAAGAACCTTTCAATGGATGGTTCTTTAAAGCTGCACTATGTTAGATTTTTTTGTTAAAATTGAAAGCAGCATCATTCAGGAGAAAAAACACACTACACTATGGTGTCTGTGCGCTGCTGCAAGTCACCTTGTAAAGCCTGAGATTTAAAAGCCAGAGGTGTCAAGAAAGCCAGTTAAAGAGGAGTCTGGCTACTCCTTATTTCTCCCATTATACCAGAATCATGACTTCAAAATACTATAGGGCACCCGTTAGTGAGTCCTTAATGAATGGAGTGAATGGAGCTAAATGACTAAAAACAAAAATAAATGAAATGTTTCTAGCCATTAATGTGTGAATTTTCTGAATTTTGGAAAATATGAGGATGTATTTCATAAATAAATCAAGAAAATTTACCAGTATCTTTCTGTTTTTCTACAGAAAACTGCAAATACAATCCAACTATGATGTCATATTGAGAGACAGAATAATGTATACAATTAGAACATTTATTGATGTATGTAATATGTATGTAACTATTCACTGCCAAAAAAAAAATAATAATAATCCACAAAAGTGAGAAACTGTTTTGCATTCCAGACTGGAAGATCTTTTAAAAATGATCCATGAATAATTTGCTTATTTTCATGTTAGAGGATTCCTTTCTCTCTCAAGGAGAATGGCTGACATTTTAAAAGTGCATAATAGTAATATGTATGACATTTATTACTAAGAGCCTGAAGACCCTGCACACATTCCACCTCTGTATCTTAAATCAATCATTTATGAATATATCTCATCTGTGAACTGATACTTCATGTATGCATCAGATATGACTGAAATTTACAGCAACCCTACATAAGCTGCACCATACAAATTTATACAGAACAACTTGCATGTGATCTATACATTAAGCTTTACAATCAAACGCATGTACAGAAATGGCACAGCCTATTAAATCCTTGGGGGTTATTTTATGACTGGATCTGATCTGGCAATAATTCCACTTTATCACCTCAAAGAAAATGGATCTGGCACTTTAGGGTCTTGAGTTGGAAGAAACCCATGGAAGAAAATTTTCATGCCAAGAATCTAAATATGTTGAAGGAAAATTGCTTCTAATGTAGTCTGACAAATGTCAGATTACATCCAACCTCTAGACCTTGGCATTTGCCTTAAGTAGCTGAATATCAGCATTCTTTGAGGTGATAAAGAGGAATTATACCACAGAGTCTCTGAATGAGACCAAAGAGCAAAAGAATCAGGCTCAGGCTATGTTGGGTGGTCTCAATATGATGTAGAAGTGCTTATTCCATGCCAGGCTTACGTAGAGGCCTCCTAAACTGACTACTTTTTAGCAAGAGGGGTGTTAAAAGGGCCTAGTGGAGTCTCTGTCCAGTAGATGGCGCTGTAGCTTAGAACCAATGAGACTTGCGTATACTTCGAAAGCTCTGCTAAAGCTAGGATGAAAACTCATTCTGGCCACTGCACACTGCACTTTACATACACTGTATGTCCAAAAGTTCCTGCTTATCCAATGTTTCTTCTGAAATCAAGAGTATTAGTAGGGAGTTTGTTCCACTCTTCTGTGAAGGTTTTACACTGGATGTTGGAACATTGCTGTGAGGATTTCATTGTATTCAGCCACAAGGGCACTAGTAAGAACTCCATCACTCCAGAAAACACAGTTGCTGTGCTCAACAGTCCAATACTGAGGGGCTTTATACCCCTCCAGCTGATGTTTATCATTGGGTATAGTGACTATAGCTTCCCATTCCACTGGCAGTGCTTTTCTTTGGAGATTTTACAAGCTGTGTAATCAGTTGTATGCCTGTGTCAGCAATGGGTTCATCTTAAAGTAGCTGAATTCACAAATTATTAGAGATGTCCAGATACTTTTGGACATATAGTATAGAATGTGTAATACACTATAATATGTGTCTCAATGCCTCGTCTCTGAGGGTCTCAAATACAACACTTACTGACATATTTGTTGTGTCACCCTTTTAAACATATTTTCTCCAGATTGTTTTTATAGCAAGTCCTGCTAGTGTCCTGTTATATTTATTTATATATATATATATATATATATATATATATATATATATATATATATATATATATATATATATGGTCTAATAGTTTAAACAGTCCAAGGCATAGAACTTCATGTGGTATGTTTGTAGTTGTTTATCATGCTTGTTGGGTTTTCTGAAAACATCCATGAGTATTTTAGCTCCAGCTGTTTGCAAAGCGTATGAGTCGAGAGAAAGACTCCCAACAGAATATCCCTTAGGCGTAGTCTCACCGCTACAGCTCCCCATACACACATATTCACACAATGCTGGCTGTAATTGTTTTCCTGAAGAACCATTTGGTTCTTGGTTTCATTGCGTTTGATGACCTAATTTGTAGCGTTTCAGATTCACTGGCACTAGTTTAATATGCTATTAAAATCAGTGGCTGAGTAAAACTCCGGAAGGGTCATAAAGAGGCTTTTTCCCTTGGTCCACTAACTCTAATTCTTCATCAGAAAGCAAAGCACAGATGTGAACTAGATTATCCCCCTCTACTTCCCTGCTCTCTCTCTCTTTCTCTGTCTCTCTCTCTCTCTCCCCTTTCCTGCTTTTTCTCTCTCTTCAACTCTCTCAACCGCAAAAGAAAGAAATCTTTGAGTTGCTGCTCTTTTTCAAAACACTCCCACCCCTTCCAGTAGTTAACAGACAGAGGCACAGACTTTTCCCCAGCCAACCTCACACACTTCCCTGTTGGAGCAAGAGCAATGGAGTTGGAGAAGCACTGACTGTTTGTGCTCTACCTCTCAGCCTTTGAATGGCAACTTGAGGATTTGAGCTTGTAAAAATTTGGACCACACGGGACGCTTTACCTTGTCTTAGAAGCTGAAGGATTTGGGTGAGTTCTTTCAAACTTTTGTGCTTGTTTTGCCCTGTGGGTCTCTATGGGAGAAAGACTGAATTTACTAGATTGGCATGTAAAAAAAAGAAGAATTATTGCAACAAGAGAATCATTGCAAATTAGCATATAGCTGTAAATGTTGTGATATATGGCATCAGACTATTCTTTGTAATTTTGTATGCTGATCTATCTATACCTATTAAATCAACATTAAATGAATAAAAAAATACATCAAATACACATTAAGTCAGTCAGAAACCAGTCAGAGACATTTCATTTTCACTCAAAAATAGCTATTAAGTACAAGTTGTTAATTAAAAAGGAAAGTAAGTGAAAAAGCTGTTTCCAAAACTAGAGTTCAAAAAATGGTTCAAAAATATAAAGAAAACGGGACTCCTAACAACCACGCAAGACCTGGCAGACCACCACCAGGTAAACAGCACTAAAATCTTTGAGAGAGAGGAGAAAATCAAGCTCCACTGTTGCTTCAGATCTGAAAAAAATCACAGGTGTTTCTGTCCTTCTTTCCACTGTGAGAAGACAACTCAACACTATGAGTCTGAAAGGATGTGTAGCTGTCAAGAAGCCCTTACTGAGAAAAAGAAACACAAAAGAAGAGAATTTGCCAATCAAAGAAGCTGCTGTTGTTCTCAGAAGAATGGACTGACCACTCCTGACCTCGAAAATCACTGAATGTGTTTGAGATTACACGGATTGTGAGAAGCAGAAAGTATAACCAACTTATAAGACTGAAAATTGAAGGTGTGGAATTAAATACCAGCAGATTACGTTGAAAAATGAAAGCACATTTATCAAAAAGAATGGAAGCTACATAAAAAAAGCAAACAAAAAACTTTATATTATTTTGTTGAGTTACTGTTTAATTTCCTGTTAAACATAAGTTTCTGTTTTTTGCTGACACTAAAAAAATTATTATTTGTACTTTACTGCAGCCATTTTGACTGGAAATTAAATAAACTAAGGGTAGTCTCTGAACTTATTTTTATCAACACAGGCAGTCTGAAAGTTTGCTTTACAGCAAACCTAAATCTTGTTTTCACCCACAGTTGCTGAGTTGTGACCACCTTTTAGACCTAGACCTGGTCCCTCAGGTTACATAGCCAGAGGTTGAGTTGCTATAACAGCTATAAGGTGTATAAGATGCAAGACATTGCATCACCTGCTGAGGCCTGCACACCTAAAAGGCTCACTGGAGAAAAGGGGCCAAAATTATAATGGCTTCCTCTGGGAAAGAAGTTGGTGTTCTAGCTGCTGAGCAAAACAAAGAAAAAGTACTATTTTTACCCTGCATTAAGTAGGAGAGTGCCACTTGTCAAAGAATGACTGTATTCTTGGCACTCAGTGTGTAGCAGGCAGCTGCTGTTCTCTTTAGTGTTCTAGTTATTTTCATTGTGGACCAACATGTGGTACAACCTTCCTGCTAATAAGTGAGGTTAATAGTGGCCTTTCGTTTGTATGGAAGCCCAGATAGCTGTATTATCAGACAAAAAGACTTTTTTATCTACTTTGAACTGGTATGGTATTAATTACATCAAATGGCACAATGCATTCATTAGACATCACAAAGCAATATAGCCAAAGGAAATTTAAAGGTCAGAAACATTGGCTGCTCTTTTGTGCCCCCAATTAAGGAATTTAATTGGCCAAATGGCTTAATTATTTTTCTCCATTGTTAAACATTATGATCTCTGTCCTGGCAAAGAGATTTGCAGTGTAGCCCTGAGAAAGAAAGGCTAATGAAATCAAGACATTTTGGCCATTGTTCATTTCAAAATGCTGATCAGCTTACATGAGCAGTCTGTATGTGTTCCGCTCACTTTATGTGGGTTTGGAAGATATGCAACATGCTGAGCAAGTCCAAGTTCTGTGTGTTTTTGATGATGTGTAACATACCAACTGAATCCAAGAAGTCAATGCTGAATGCTGTTTTTCTTCTTTCAAGCTCCACAGAACATAAAAATGCATTGAAATTACTTAATTCAAATGTGTACGTAATGTCTACATGAACGATAAGTATCAAGACAGTTATTACCAAAAGTAGTCATCTGAATGGCAAAACTGTGTTGCAGTAACATGTTTTATTCATGTAGAAATGATGAACACATTTGTATCACTTTCACTTTTTTCAGTGCAATCTGGAACTATTTACTGACAGAATACATCCCCTTAATTACAGCTTCCACTATTGCATTTTAATGCACTTCTCGTGACTCTGTATTTGGATTTCTCATTAAGATGCTTCCTAAAGTTTCCAATTTCAGTAAGAAAAAGTATTGGAATGTTTCCACAACACTCTTCGTTATTTAGCTCTGACTAAATGAGAAATAAATCACAGCTCTCATCTTTGCAGTCAGAAAAGAAGCTCATTACAGGCTGAGGCAGTCTGCTGGCCTGCTGATATCATCTGTCTACCACAGTGCAACCATCAATCAACAAGCATGAGCAACAAATTGCCCTGGTGGCAGGACGGGCGAGTGGCGCATGGTGGAAGTTCAAAGGTTTGTGTTTACTACAGCCTCAATAACCCGTATGAGGTCACTCGTCCCTCTAATCAGAAACAGAGATGACAGGCAAAGCAGGCAACTCTAAAGTTTTTTATGTGCAAGTACAGCACTGGGTCAGGGCTTTAAAACCGAAAACTGTCTCATAATATGCATGGGAGCCAACGCACATATCAGATCCCCCTGCAACAAAAAGTAAAAGTAAAAAAAATCTGCTTTACCTTTTTTTATTGTTACCCCAAATTAAGTCAAAAGGCATGTTTGGTGTCTGAGGTTTTGCTTCTTTAAATTTGTGCCAAAGCTATAAGTCTAACATAGCTAATGCAAGCTTCTACCACAGCAGCTAGCATTGTGCAAACTGCATGCCTAAATCATCTTCAAAACCACATTGAGTTGTGAAGTCTCAAAGTCTCAAAACAACTTGCTCATGTGGTTTTTACATTGTATAACATACTGTTCTAATAAAATTTAATAATTGTGTGCTATAAGCTTCCATTACTTGTTAGCTACATTGACCTTGTAGCTCCAGTACAAAATCAAAGACATTTTATACACCAGAGGTCTGTCTCACAAAGCAGAATTTATGGCTTAACCAGCTAACTTTAAGCCTTTTACTGGGATACATTGAAATGGCAACTTATACTGGACAGCTAACTTATACAGGTTCAGTTCGGAATTTTGGATGCTACATTCAGATGCAGAGATTGTACATACCAGATGATTGATTAGTTCTCTGTTCAAATTCTTGTACCTAGATACGTCCACTGCAGGGAAAAAAAGCAAATATATCCTGCTTTTTCTTTGCTGTATTGAAAAGCACATAGATCTAATAGAAGCAGATCATTTATATATTTTTTTCACATTCACTGCAAGTTTACCGTTTTCAACTTGTAAAAATGTGAAAGGTTGCATAATACATCAAGTTGTAAAGTCGTGTATCATCTGGAATCCCAAGTTCACCAGTTCTAAATATGACTTTGCTGCTTTTCAAGTGCAATTTACAGGTGGGAAAAATGGCATTTCTCAGTTTCCGACACCACTTGAGTGCAGCAGTAGACAGTCCTTGGAACAATCAGGCCAAACTCCTGACCAATCAGTGACTGACAGAGATGGACCCCTATGGCGACCTTTTTTCCCCTTTGTGATGTCTGGGCCATCAGTCACATAAAGAATGTTGCTTTTTATCAGAAGAAGCAAATTACGCTACGTGCATATTAAGAACATAAAGTAGTTATTACTCCACTAAGCACTAACATTGGCACTGTTGCTTTTTACTGATATGAATGCTTTACCTTTCTACATATATACATAGACCTCTTTTTCCTTCTTTGAAAAAAAAAAGCTTGATTCCTCCTCATGTAACATACGATTGCCTGTTTGTCATAAATATCACACTTTCGTGTGCATGTGGATATTAAGTGTGTGTCTGAATGAGAAACTTGTTAACCATCTTTGTAAAATTAGTTAACTCCCGTTCCATTTGTTAGGTTTTGTCAAGCTGAAACTTCAGGAACCCTGTGTCTGTTGAAATTGCTTCATGAGACAGGCCATGGTTGATTGACTACATTTGGAGTAAGGGGAAAATTGAGTAAATCCTATAAGATTTTCACCTAACCATCGCTTTAAACAAGTTATACCTTTATGAGGACAGAGGCTAAGACCAAATGAGGCTAGGGCTAAGACTGTGACTACAAACACAGGAGAGAACTTGAACAGGCAGCATTTTTTCCTCTAAAGAGCCAGCTGACTTTACCACAAAACTCGAAAAATGCACCAGCGGTGGGAAAGAGCTGCTGAGCACTCACAGACAGCTATCGCATTTCAGACCGACTCGTGTATACTGATGAGTGGTGAGGTGCTCTGGAGCAGACAGTACACTCATGGAGGAGAGTGTGAAGTGAAGGGATATAGGAGATGAAATGACTGTGAGGAGCGGCTTAATGAGGTGGTGCTGTTGCTCCGCATGGCTGTACGCTGCGTCAGTAAGACATTATGATTGGAGGTGCTTGCTATAAATCAGCAAAAGCTGCATTTGCTTTATAAATCAAACATAAATGTCAAAGGATTAATCACAGTTGGCATATGTAGTTATATCTACTGTGGCATCTTGCACAAACTGACATGTAATTATCAAATTTTGAAAGATCCTCCTACTGGCATCGGCTGCTTAATGTCACCGCAGAAAAGAAATCTAATCTGAGGGAAGAACACGGATAATGGCTTTGTGTACAGGATTCTCAGGAGCTTTAAGCATCACCCTTAAATCCTGATGCCTCTGTCCCCCTGATTCACCTTGTAATACCAAGGAAATGGACCTTTTCTCAAAGAGATCAACAGGAGTTATCTGTTCCTCATGCTGTCATTGCAGTCTCTTCTGAATCCATCCATACGCAGGACTACATAAACATTTCCTTTTTCCTGAAGGCTTCCCATGAACAACACCTCAGCTTCGTATATACAAATGTGCTCAGCGCACATGCCAGCTGCAAAAACTCCATGTGCTCCAGAAAAGCTTGTAAAAATGCCTTGGTGTGAATACGATTGGCTGGGGTGTTTTCTTCTCGTAGAAAGTTTTGACTTCTTCCAAGAAAAGCAAAGAGCTAACAGTAAGTCGCTCCCTTTTTTTTTGACTAGTGGGCCACTAGCACAGGGCTGCATGGTGAGAGGTCAAACACAGATTAGACAGACAGCTGTTGACAGGCAGGAATGACACTAGCTGATAGTACTGACAGCACCTTGACACTCGTTATGATTGATGGAATGGCTGAGAGCAGTAATTGGTGCAGTAATTGTGGTGGGATGCTTTCATAGATGGCTAGTAAATGTGGTAGGGAATGTAGTGCTACCAACTAATTCAGTTTTATACCCAAAATTACATGTATATTGTCACTGTCCTTATAAAACCTTATATCTCTAAAAAAAAGTAACTTTACAAGACAAAGAAAAAAACATTTAAACATCTTAAATTACAATGAAAGTAAGTGTAACAAGATTTGGTTCTAATCTATTGGTCCGTTCATCATGAAATTTTGACACAATATAAAAGGCTGCTGGTGTGTTCAAACTATATAAAAAACAACAAAAATGAAGATACAAAGATTTTGTTCCAACAGTGACGATATGGTGCTTTTGACAAGCTCACAGTTTGGACATACAATTTGCTTTGTTCAGGGCAAATTTAGAATCTGAATGGTCTCAGGCCAAATGCGATTCTTTGAGGGTCTGTGTTCATTCCTTCTGTCTCAGATGAACTTGTGTCTATCTTCTGACCTCTCACGTTACAGTTATGTTGGTACTGTACAGTTGGGTGGGCTGCTATATTTTCTTTTCTTAGAAAACATCATTCTTCTTGAAACTTATTCCAAGAACAGCATAATTAGACAAAGTCGCTCCTTCGTTTGACCATTAGCTGGGAGAGGTCAGCCACAGATATCGAACAGACAGGTGTTGACAGGCAGAAATGACACTAGGTGATAGTGCCGACAGCACCATGATGCTCATTACCATTGACAGAATGATGAAGAGCTGCAACTGTTAAAATAAAAGTGATGCTTTCATGGATAACTGTGGTGGGGAATGTGGTGCTTTGGTTAATTTGATTTTATATCCTTAATTATATGGATATTGTGCTTCTGACAAGCTTACTGTTTGGATGTTGTCGACTCTGTGCTTTGTTCAGGGCAAATAGAGAGACTGAATGGTCTCTGTGGACCCACAGGCCAAACGTAATTTGTTGAGAGTTTGTGTTTATTCCTTCAGTCTCAGATGAGGTCAGGTCTTGGCAATAGCACTTTGGTTATTTGGAGAAGGCGCTGGCCAGCTTTGATAAGCTTGAATAGGGCCTTGCATCTCTCATCTCTTGGGGTTTCATTCAGCACTCTTTCAAAACAGGTTAGAAAGGTCACTCACGGTAAACCTATTCTCTTTCCTAGGCCAACATGAGGCAGCACTGGACTTTGGGTACATTACTATTCATAGCCTCACTGATGTCAGCCCACTGTCAGAGCGGTGAGGAAGGGGACTGGGGATCAGGCAGCATGCCAGAGGTCATGTTCACCAATGCGTCCATTCCTATTCCACATGCAATCAGGGATGATCCGGTCAGGCCTGACTGGACCAAGCCGCTTTTTCAGGCCATTCCAGAGATCGAAGTAGATGGCTGCTCTGTCAACTTCCACACCAGCCAGGCTATGTCCAGGCGATTACGGGCGTACAGGGACGAAGTGGCTTATCTGAAGGCTCTGCAGCATGGGAACCAGGCAGTGGTGGAGAATCTGGTCCAGTTTGTCGGAGCAGAGTTGGGGACCCAGCGCTATCAGGAGATTATCCAAGAGAACATTGCTGGAATAAAGGAGGATCATGTTAGCTGTGAGGGAGTGGTGGAGAAAGCAGCAGATGAGTTGGAGAACCAGCTGGAGGGAGACATCTTACAAGCTCTGGCTGGAATTCAGAAGTAAGTAGGTGTAACTGTAATACACTCCCAGTCACGATCTAGATGGTTAAAGCCTTGATAACCCTTGAATTCCCAAAAGAGAGCTCTGAGCCCAGCAGAAAAAGTCGCATAATATAATACAGCCATAAACAATTTGTTAGGTAAAAAGTTTCTGGTGTGAGATGGTAGAGGAGGCACAGGGATGTGAGTGTATGGTTATAGAAGAAAAGGGCTGATTTCAGTTACACAGCATGCATGAAAGTTCATTATACCAACATTAATTTCAAACAAGTTGGTACAGTGTGTGAAATGCTAACAAAAAAAAAACCAAACAAACAAAGAAATGTTTAGTAATTTTTATTTATTTATTTATTTATTTATTTGTGTTAAATTCCAAATTATTCCAAAATAGATGCTGGCAACACATCCCAAAACATTGGAACAGGAGCTTGTTTATCTATATGTTACATCATATTTCCTTTTAACAGTACTTAATCATTTTGGGGCCTAAAGATACCAACTGATCCAATTTTGAAAGTGGAATTTTTCCATTATACTTTCATCTTTAGCTGTGCAACCATACAGGCCTTTGTTGTACTAGCGTTTCATAATGCACCCCACATTTTTATTGGGAGAACTGACTGGACTGCAGGCAGGCCAGTCTAGCACCCACACTCTCTGATCATGCAGACATGATGTAATGTGCCAAATGTGGCTTGGTGTCATATTGGAATGAGAAAAAGATGTTTTCTAGCATATGTGACCCCATATGTGCCTTCACAAATGTGAAAGTTACGCATGCCATGGACACAAACACCCCGTCTCACGACAGACCCTGACTTCTGAACTTTACTTTTTAACATAGATGGCCCATTTTCTTCTTTGCCTAAACAACACAGTGTCCATTATTTTCATTAACAGTCTGAAAAGTTGACTTCAGTCCACAGTACACATTTCCACTGTGCATCACTGTCCATTTCAGAAGAGCTTGAGCCCAGAGATGTCAGTATCATCTCTGGATGTTGTTGACATATGGCTTCTGCTGTGCATAGCGTGCAGTCTTAACTTGCATTTGTGGATGCAGCAATGAATGGTGTTTGTAAATAATGGTTTATCAGAGTTTTCTCAAACCTTTGTGGTACAACAAAAGAGCAGCAGTTTTTTTAATACAGTGCAGTCTGAGGGATCGAAGATCACAGGCATTCGATTGTGTTTTCTGGCTTTGCCCTTTATGCCTTTATTTTCTATGAGTTCCCTGAATCTTATGATGACATTATGCACTGTAGAGGGTAAAATATCTAATGTTCTCGCAAAAGCTTGTTGAGAAACCTTGTTTTTAAACTGATTATTTACTGCCTTTATTTATTTAGACCAGTCTTGATCTGTCATGAGGTCTTTCCGGAATGCTCCTTTTATACCCTAGTATGATTGCACCACCTGTTTAAGATGTTTTTGAACATTTCACAACATTCTTAGCCTTGAATGGCTCCCGTCAAAACTTTTTTTGGAACATGTTCCAAGCATGAATTTCTAAATGAGCATATATTTACAATTAATATGATAAGATGAAATCATTAAAAATCTTGTCTTTCTAAATACAAGTTAAAGTGGATTTACAAATCACTGCTTTCTGTTTCTGTTTGCATTTCACATGCTCAATTTTTTGGAACTGAAGTGTGTAATTACAAATAACTAAATGCAAAATACAGACCTATAAATACAAAGCGAGTAGCAGAAAGCGGCACACCAACCACAGCAAATTGTGTCTGGCCTCTGGGTTTTCCATCATCAGCATAGACAGTAGGAAGGAATGTGGATTTTTTGCCCCTTGCAGGCCCCTGAATTGAGGGCTGCTCAGAGCTGTTTTGGGTCCCCTCTGCCCAAACCCCCTCCTTTCCTTTCATTTTTTTCTCTCACTCTGATTCTGCTTCTCTTCTTTGTGTCTGTCTCCAAGAATCAAAGAAGAGTCTCTTGCCTTTGAACGGATGCTGCGAGCCACGGCAGACATCGCCAGCCGGCTGGAGATTTCCTCACGGACCCTGCACACGGAGCTAACGGAGCAGCTCAGAAGGAGCATGAGTGCTCCCAACTGAAAGCATATAACGGGAGGACTGCCATTTCAGAGGATAAAAATCAGTCATCACTGTTATTTTAAAGTCCCCACACATTCTTAAAAATAAAGATACCAGGGCTGGTTCCTTGAAGAACCTTTCATGGAACCTATCAGATGTGTGAGTGTGTAGAATGTTTTTTTAAAGTTAAAAGAACCTCCAAAGTAAAAGTTCTATTCCAATTAAAAGTTTTTACAACTGTATATTCAAATCAGGAACATCTTAGAACTTTTATTTTGAAGAGTGTACTTGTTCAGACACAAAGGGCATGAAGAGGCAATTTAATTTAAGTACTGTGCAATATTGAGAATACTGTGCATATTTTTACACTATGTTAAAAGCACTAGTTTTTGTCCAAGTATTGCATTTGTGAATTCTCGTGCATTTTTGTTTGAAAACTCTTGTCAGAAGAGTAACACTTAGCACATTTTCTCTCCAATTTCAGACAGATAGCTCAATGTTCTGGTCTGGCTGTCTTGGTGCTAGGGTGCAGATGGAGAGCAGACAGCTAGGGCCCCTCACTCAGCACAGACACATACATTTTATGAGAGGGAAAAGGGAAATGGCCTTGATGTCATAGAAAAATAAACGGAGCCTCGCCTGGAGGCCAAAACTGAAAGGAGGCCCATCATTAGCAAATGAGCATTGTTTAATTCTTTTTTTATTAACCATAACAGAGTTATAAACGAACAATGTGTAATTTATGAGTTATGCTGGGCAGCTGGGAATGAGCCTTTTGTGGTATGTGCATGTCTTAATAAGCGGATGTCTTGCAGGGCAATCTCACTTGCTTTTGGATGGGATTTAGCTCATGAAGAATATGAATAAAGTACTAATTTAATCAGTTCCGTTTCTACAGACTTTTTCAAATGAACTAATTATGAATACTCCCGATGAATGCACAATAATTACGAAGTTAAAAATAGTTTTAAATGTGCTTGTTTTTACCATGACTTTGCACATTATTGCATTGAGATCAGGCATAAAGCACAGTGTATGATGAAGATGATGTAACCCAGAACTCTCTGACTGTAGCCTCTTATCACATACAGTGTCACAATAGTTCAGGGGAAAGGGAAAGTTCTAAAATTTCAAGCTGAAACATTCAATAATATTTTTGGTATATTTTTGCAAATATTAGTTCAGTTGGCCTGCCCCCTGGCGGTGGTATCTGGCAATAGCAGGCCAAGAGAAAGGCCATGTATATAAATTTTATTTTATGAGGTTCGTAATTTATCCCTCCTCCCCGACCAACAATAAATAAATAAATAAAGAAGGAATGAAAAACATAGATACTACTACTAAAATTTAATAATAATAATAATAATAATAATAATAATAATAATAATAATAATGTGAAACAACAACACATTTTTGAGATTTATTTTTATTACTTTATTTTTTGTTCATTGATTTTTTTATTTTATTATTATTATTATTTTTTTTTTAGCAATCTCATTAAATTATCTCAATAATAGCTCTGGTATTCCACCCAGTGGCAGTGGGGAACTCCTTTGGCCCCCGAGTCCTGGCCACTCCTCCATTTCCTGACCTCACTCCGGATGGGCAGATGGAAAAGACAGGAGGCTGAGAGACACTAGCGCGAGAGCGCAGCGTAGGCACGCAGGTGGGAGAGCTTCGTCCTGAAAACAGGCGCGTGAACACGGAGCAGCTTCAGTGTTAAACTTCTAAACTGTAAAGCAGCTGCATCAGTTCCGCTAAGCAGGTCTTCTTCAGTCTTCCAGCGAACAGGTGCTCAGAGGCTGCGGTGCGTCTTTACGCGCAGACAGAGGAGAGCGAGGCGAGTATGGGCAGAAGAGCACGCGAGGACTTTCACGGTGCGTGCTAACTGAAACGCGCGCGTGCTTCCAGACTCAGAAGGATGCTCACGTGCATTTATTAAACAAGCATCAGCAGCTGTGTCAGGTTGCTGGGTGCGATCAGACTGTGTTTGACTGCCCAAAGCTCCACAATGCACGCGTTAGTCTGGCTACAGCAGGTTCTCCACGCGCGCTCCGCAAGGCGCGTGCAGGGCTGAGGACGGAGCGCAGGCGGGATGGAGCAGGACTGGCTCAGCTGATTTCAGCCTCGGACAGCTGAAGCAGCACACGGGATGGAGCGCGCGGGGAAGAGCCCGCTGAGGGTGAGGAGCGCTCTGCTCTTCATCATCCTCTGGAAGTGCGGTACGGTTACTCACTCTCTGCTCTTCACGCTGTTTGTTTCCTGCTCACTTTGCCTTAAATATGAACAGTTTAGTTAGTAACAGTGTTACTTATAAGCCTCTATGCATTCTGCTGTTGGTATTTTAGTTGTTATCTTCAGGTTAAATGCACAGACAGAAGAGTATGATATGTGCCAAAACTGCTAATACTTATTTAACGTATTCCCAATGTCATATTCTTTATGACCCTTATTCATATTCATAGCCTATTAATACTGTACGTCCTTTATTCATATATTTGATGTGGTTATGTTCAAAAGATAGGGAGTATATATGCTATAATATTGGCATATATTATCGAAATATATTAAAAATGTGAAAATGAAATGTAACATTTCTGGTCAGACTACTTGGTTTAGGCTACTTTCTTACAGATTACAGTCAGTTTTTGGGTCCTGGCTTTACTATTTGACTGAAACTCATACAGACAGACTATAGTGAGATCCACAGGTCTTTAAAGGGCCCATGTCAACACTTTCTTGTATTCTTATATACTAAAATATTGTCACTGTTGGAGCAAAATGTCATATCTCCAGAATGATAATGTTACAGTAGGAGGAAAATACATTCTTAACTTATAACGGGTCTTAATGTGAAAAGATTTTTTCCAAGTTATTTCACTATTTCTATTGGTATGATCATTTTAATGCAGTACAAGTAACTGGAGTTTTACAGTCATGCAAAAAAAGTAAAAAATGACAAAAGTGGACAATGCACAAGGTTTTTGTGCAACAGTGACAATATGTAAATGATCCATGTTCTGATTGGCTTCATTCCAAAAGTCATCTGGGCTGAAACACCCCTTATAACCTTGGGAACAGACAAATTAAACTGCTGTAAACTGAAAAGCAAATGTGTAAATATATCAAAAATGATATTACAAGAGCAATGAATGCATGTTTTTTGCACTTTAGTTTCTTTAGTTCAAACTTGTATATTGTTTATGTTTACAACACCAAGTTTTTTGTCAGTGAAGGGAAATTGGTTTTCCAAGATATAGGACCTTTACAACTTCACATACTTTACTACTTTCTGCCTCTACTACTTTACATTCCAGCAGACGTTAGCCACAGAATGAGGATTGACAATATGGGACAGGGCATGGGACAGTGTATTTAATGATCATTATGAGGTCATAAGGTACACTGTTTTAGGTGGTCGTATAGGATGGTGTACTTGATGATCATTAGGCATTCATAAGTTACGATGTATTAGGTAGTGATATGTGACAATGTAATTGATGGTCATTAGGTATTCATATGATAAAATGTATTAGGTGGTAATAAGGGACAGTGTATTTTATGGTCATAAGGTATTCATAAGGGGCAGTGTATTAGGTGGTCAAAAGAGACAGTGTATTAGGTGATCATGTGGGACAGTATATGTAGCAGTCATTACGTAGTCACAAGGGACAGTGTATTTGATGGTCATTATGTGGTCACAGGGGACAGAGTATTAGTTGGTCATAAAGGACAGTGTATTAGGTGGTCAAAAGGAACAGTATATGAAGTAGTCATTACGTAGTCACAAGGGACAGTGTATTTGATGGTCATTATGTCATCATAGGGGACAGTGTATTGGTTGGTCATAAGGGACAGTGTATTTAATGGTCATTATGTGGTCATAGGGGACAGAATATTAGTTGGTCATAAAGGACAGAGTTAGGGGTGCGGGAAAAAAATCGATTCTTAGATGCATCGCGATGCGGACGCGAACGATTCTGAATCGATTCACAAACGCCAAAAATCGATTTTCTAAATATTTAATTTATAACGTAATGTTGACGGAACGCAAAGGGCGGAACTTGGAAGTGGGTAAGTGCAGCGCCCGGACAGTCTGTGGCGGCACATAACAAAAACACAACTGGATGAGCGAGAAATCCGACCGGCTCCCTCTGCGTTAAAGCCAGGTCAGGTCAGGAGTCACAACCCAAATGATAAGAAGAGCCATTTTGTCCTTTCAACAAAGTCAAACCACCTTGGGAGCCACAACATTTATGTCCAGTATGTCTCAGTATGTGTTAATGTCCTAGTATAGACTAAACAATATAAATGAAAATGCAGCTTTAGCTATAGCCGCTTTCCTCCCCTTTCCCTCAAGGAACTTTTCCTCAAAACTAGAGCAGTTTCTCGTAAAAAGTCTCTCAGCGTTCGACTGTTTTCCGACGCTTAAGTCGCTTCTTATTCTCCAGCTTCATGTTCGAATTTTCCCGTTCCACCTTAAATTCTGCCTGAGGCGCCGAATGTAAATGCGGCACCATTTAAGGTGGAACGGGAAAATTCGAAAGAGAAGCGACTCCAGCTTCGCAACTGTTTAGTGTTCGACAGTCTATAGTTGCAGATTTAACTTGCCAGGAATCAACTGCAGTGCTTATAAATGCGAATAACGCTTCGTTGCTATGTGACCTGCAGTTCTTAGTCGTTGCGAAACAGGGCTTTCCCGCTACGTTGCACACGTCCCGTCTCAGGGATATTTTAGTGACACAGCGATCGCCCCCCCTCCCTGTCTCTACAACGAGACCAAAACCGAAGTTATAAAATCACTAAAGAAAACGGGTAGAATACCTGTAACTTGTGCTGCGTGGACGTCCACGGCCACAGGATCTTATTTCACCGTAACTGCGCATTTTATCGCAGATGAGTGGCAGCAGCGTCTCATGTGCTCCAAACAATAGCAGTGAATGAGAGTCTTCTACTTCAATTGCCACATCACTTCCATTTGATTTATTAATAAAAGATATTGGACGTAAATTCATTATGAATCATTACAAATACTCTGCTTTAAAACTACCAAGTCCTCAGACAGTAGGAAAATAGAAATCCCGTATAGAAAAAAGGATGCATCGAGATGCATCGATAATCGTTTCATAATCGCATCGCAGCTCTCTGAATCGTAATCGAATCGTGAGGTGCCTAAAGATTCCCACCCCTAGACAGAGTATTAGCTGGTCATAAAGGACAGTGTATTAGGTGGCCAAAAGGGATAATGTATTAGGTGGTCATATGGGACAGTGTATTTGATGGTCAATATGTGGTCATAAGGGACAGTGTATTAGGTGGTCATAAGGGATAGTGTATTTGATGGTCATTAAGTGGTCATAAGGGACAGTGTATTAGGTGGTCATAAGGGATAGTGTATTTGATGGTCATTATGCAGTCATAAGGGACAATGTATTAGGTAGTCATATGGGACAGTGTATTTGATGGTCAATATGTGGTCATAAGGACCAGTGTATTTGATGGTCATTATGTGGTCATAAGGGACAATGTATTAGGTAGTCATATGGGACAGTGTATTTGATGGTCAATATGTGATCATAAGGACCAGTGTATTTGATGGTCATTGTGTGGTCATAAGGGACAATGTATTAGGTAGTCATATGGGACAGTGTATCTGATGGTCAATCTGTGGTCATAAGGGACATTGTATTTGATGGTCATTAGGTGTTTATAAAGTACAGTGTATTAGGTGGTTATATAGGACAATGTATTTGATGGTCACAAGGTTTTTATAAGGTACAATGTATTAGGTGGTCATATAGGACAGTGTATTTGATGGTCATTAGGTATTCATAAGGCACAGTGTATTAGGCAGGCAAATTGGACAGTGTATTTAACGAACCTTATGTGGTCATAAAGGACAATATATTAGATGGTCATATGGGACAGTATATTAAATAATCATGACAGTGTGTTGAGTGTCCACAAGGGACAGCGTTTATGGTGGTCATTACAGACAGTGTGTCAGGCTGTCAAATGGCACAGTATGTTGCAGTAAAATGAAACAGAAATGGGACAGTATGTTGTATAGTAAAATAGGGCAGACATTGGACAGGGTGCTATGGTAAAATGGGACAGAAATGGGACAACTTGTTATATAGGTGTCATGGGACTCACATATCCCTGTAACAATGAACTTTTCCCAATGAACTAAAATGGCTTTTGGAATTGAATGAACCTATTTACATCACTTCTTTCACTCCTTTAGAATGAATGGACTAATAAGCAGCTAAAATTGGAATAAACATGAATTGATTAAAGTGTCCTCATTATTTAATGGCTCATGGTACCTCACCCTAAAGGAGACCGACTATGGGTATTTCAACAATGCCCTACTTTGGCTGAAATAACTTGTTCATTTGGTGTCTGCTGGAGAGCTTTTACTGAGCTGTGAAAGAGACAAAAGTATTCAGGGTACTGTCATGTCTCGGGTGTTGTGGATGTGGGGCTTTGATGTAGCCCATGGGAAGGCTCTGTGAGTCCCTATACATGACCTGCAGGTTTCTTTCTGGTCTGGAAAACATGCAGAACTAAAGCATGGTTCACACACTTAATTAGGACCTCACGCTCTTTAGCGCTCTGCATACAAATGACATGTGGGAAGAAAAGCACACTTACTATCAGCAGGGTTGTTAGTTTTAATATTATTTAAATATTTGCTGTATTTTGTATTGTTTTACATAAACATCCAGCATGAACTGCCAGTCCTCTTTGTCACAGAACTTTGGACAGTCACTCATCTTGGGATCACCTGTATGTTCACAAAAATCCCTTAGGGCCACAACTCTAGGCTTTCCTGATACTTCCCGCAGTGCAGTAAGACTGACTTCATTAATGACATACTGCTCTTAAGCCAGAGATTGATTTAGTGTGCAGTAATAGAGATGTCATCGAGTAGCTGGTCAGTCCCCAGGGAGCGCAGTGCCAGAGCCAGTAAATCACTACACTCCTCCAGAGTCCCTCCTGCCATGCCAGGACCCAGGTGGTCAGGTTTCTCGTCCTGCAGGCAGCCGTGGTCCACAGGGCTCAGAGCTGATGTCTGAATTTGGCCAGCATGCTGGTAGACAGCTTCCTTCTAAGTTAAGGAGGTCAGCCCTAAAGGCAGGGCAGATGTTGCAGGTGCACAGGTAGCCTACATAAGAATCACAAAGCATGGAACCCCCTTTAAAGATGAAGGCACTAACTCATAGAAGTTTAGAGTTATCATTGACTTTCTTTGCTATACATTTAATTAACATTACATAATTATTTTAAATATGTAATTACCTAATTACAGAGGTATTGGCACTACATTTATAGTTGTTTTGTTATACATTTAGTTTACATTAATTAAATGTTGATAAGTAATTACAAAGCTATATCAATACATTCTTTGTTCTATAATTAATAGTGATGCACTGATAAGGAAATTGTGGGCCATTGCTGAAACCGAAATTATTGTACATATCTGCCGATGTCGATATCTGCAGATACAGTTGTATGCAAAAGTTTGGGTGCCCCTGGACATTTTGTTGATTTGAAGTGAACACATCCTCTACAGAGAACACACCTCTGCACACTTTAATGTCCAATTACTGTTAATTGCTGAATAGTACATTTTAGACTTTATGTTGTATCTTTTTTTCCCAACATGTTAAACTCAGCTACTAAATAGAAACTGTGTTCTAAAAATTGTAGAAAAATGCTCTATTTAAGTGTGTTCACTGTAGAGGATGTGTTAACTTATCTTCACTTAAAAAAATAACAAAACTTGTATTTTGACTGGGCTCTTTCAACTTTTGCATACAATGGTCACAAAGGAAAAAACTGAGATTAAATACTCTTTGATTACAGTTACAGAGAAATACAATGTTTGTTTTTTGCAGGGTTACAGATGCAAATGAATAAAATGCAGACATTTTGGTGACACTTTATTTTGAGTGGTTCCTTTTAGATGAAGCAAACACTCAACTGACTCTCAGTAACGTCAAAAACATATGAGGGTTAGGATTAGGTTTTGGGTTGAGGTTAAGGTTAGGATTAGGATTAGGGGCAGGGTTAGGGTTAGGTTTTGGGTAAGGTTGGGTTAGGGTTTTGTTTGTTCAAAGTGACATATTAAGAATACATCTACTTAATGTAAGTAATGTATCAACAGGACATGTACATAATATTTACTTCAATGTACCCAGATGTTTCATTACTGCTACTTCACTGATATGTTGTTGATGTGTTACTGATAATCTGTTAAGAGTTTATTAATCATCTACAAAGGACCACTCCAAATAAAGTGTTACCGACATTTTTTGCAGACAACATTGCCTAAACATTCTGCTCTTCTAAAGTAAATGAAATACAATTAAATATCAGTTTTAAATGTCTCTGAAATGTAAACTTTTGTCTGATGCTTATGTGATTCTTTAGGCAAAATCTGCTGATACTAATATTATTCTGATATCACTGTGCATCACCACTAATTGATTACATCAACATTTGATTTACGATTTTTATTGATACATTTGAATCTGCACTGTACACTTTTTTGCTCTTCATTTTAATGTCAAACAGTGACAAAAAGATGTCAAAAATGCAAAGGATATCTTTATTATCACAAAACAAGACTATACGCGCAACAACAACTTTTCATCAAATTCCAATCAGAGTAAAATATGATGTCCTTTACTTACCAATAGAAGTGTGGTATTGATGAAAAGCTTAAACTCTGCACTTTTGACACAGTTTTTTTGCTTGTTTCAAGGAGTTATGATAAAAAGTAAAACAAAATGTAGTAAGAGTCATTTCAAGGCAACTTTTGTAAACAGATAGCTGACTAGCTTAAGGCAATGACATGTGTAATTGGGAATGATTAGAGTAATGCTCAGATGTAGAGGTTCTCTGGAATTTTACATGTTGCCTATATTTATAACATGCAAATAATACAGATATGGAGCATGTCCTGAACATCTCAATGAACTTTTGCTCCCATATATTAAATTAAATTAAGCTATTCCACTCAAGCTTAGAGACAGAATACCCATTCCATGGGGTGAAATATCACCCTGCTGATACTGGGCTCAATCCTTCATATAAAACCAGTGGAATCATGTCACATACTTTATCATGCCTGAACATTACGGGCATTGCTTGCAGAGAAAATGAGTATCCCTTATCATTTAATTGAAGGATGAGGTGAGTGTGACATGTGCATGTGACATTAATCTGTTAAGCTGAAGCTGACTTCATGTTGCTCTGTGTGATTCCAAAGGCTCCACACTGCTGATCTAACCACCTGTGTCTGCGATATCAGCAATGCATGTCTGTGCGAAATGTTCATATAGCAAGTACATAAAGCATGTAATTCAGACTTTAAATTCTTATTCCAGATAAAAGGAAGGTTTTTAGGGTTTGTGGAGCCTCTTATAACCTTATGAAATCTTGTATCACCATTTTAGCTGCTGTTTTCACACAAATTTAAAATGCCAGCTGCCCTTTACATTATTAAACATTCACAAATGTTTGCATTATGCAAATATTTACGTTGTATGAGCACAGATAGACTTAAAGAAATAGTCTAAAATTACAAACTCAATTCTAAAAAAGTTGGGACAGTAAAAAAAAAGTAAATGGAAACAGCAGTGGTTTACAAATCTGTTAACTTTCACCTGTTTACCTGTGGAAAGTTCCAAAATAGATGTTTTGGTCAACTCCCTAGTCTTGCATTGCCTCTGTCCCAACGTTTTTGGAATGTGTTCCAGGCATCACGTTTGGAATTAGTGCATGTTTACAAAATTCAATAAAATCAAAGTTGATGAGGTAAAATATTAAATATCTCTTATTTTGTGCTGTTTTTAGTAAAATGCATGTAAAACACAATTTATGTTTATTTGCAGAATTTAACTTAAAACATAAAACGTCATATTAAACACACTATAACTGGCAAAAACAAAGGTACTAAACTGTCACTGGGGTGGTTCCCCCTATGTCACTGGGGTGGTTCCCTCAAGGATAGGTCTTTAATACCTTTAGTTAGGGAACATAATTATACTATATTTCTTTGCAATTATATCTTTAATGTTGAATTGATTAATCTTGCCTTGATGCCAGAATTTTTTTTTATTTGTTTTAAAACATTAGATTTTGAAAAAGTACAAATACATACCTTTCCCCTGAAAACACAGTGTATTTAAGATACTCTATTGAACCTTAAGACAATTGTTGTTCCTACGTTTATGTTGTTTGTACCTTGATGAGCAAAAATGTACCTGTACAATACCCTTTTTCTGACAGTGCACATTTAATATTTAATTGTTTTCCCAATATGTTAAATTCAGCAAATAATCACTAACAGTGCATTAAAATGTGCTTCCTGTAGAGAATGTGTTAACTGATGAATTTGAATAGGGGTGCACAAACTTTTGCATATGACTGCATATGTCTCTTCAATCTTTCTTGCATTGACAGTGTCCTGTTATGAGAAGACTCATTCACATGCAGAGGACGAACTCTTCAAAAAGCTTTTTGTTGGCTACAACAAGTGGTCCCGGCCTGTGCCAAATACCTCGGACGTCGTCATCGTTAAATTCGGCTTGTCCATTGCCCAGCTCATCGATGTGGTAACTATCACAGCATTTAAATTGTTTTCTCACTAACAACAGCAGCTAAGAAGAGAATAGCAAAATCAGACTAGAAGAAAGACTAGTGTCTTGAAAGAAGTAGCATTACTGAGTCAGAGGTATCAAGTCAGACACCGTGGGAGTTTGTTGAAGCACATCATGTGCCTTTGCATATTAATTTCACAAGCTTGAAAAGAAAGTCTGACTTGATGTTTAGGTCTCAAATGCAAAATCAACATTCTACTGATGAAGGTATGATGACAATAGCAGATAATTCACTAACATCCTCAGACAGTCCTTTGCCAAGTTTTGTTCTCTTTGAATTCTCTTTCAATGTCCTCGCCATCATCAGATCATCCACTCAGGGGTCTGAAGCGCACCCAACGTTATAAAATGTTCTTCCACAAGTTGCACACAATAACACTTTTCCACTAGAAAGATCCCCAATATTTACATAGTGCAGTTTTAAGATAGAACTGGACCAAACACTTGGTAAAATCAGCTACTTATTATGATACAGTTAATGTAGTTACTGTACTTTGATTGATGTTTACAGGATCTTAATTGGTCCAAGTCTTTTTAACAATAAATACAGTTATTCAGTGTTTTAAAAGTGCTGACAATATCCATGATATTCTCAGGAAAGCATATTGTAACATATTTTATAACACAAACCATAATATATTCTCATATTCTCCAGCCTTATGGGTGACTTGACTAAGAACTCTTGCTTAATACCGGTTGGTTCCCAACTCATCCATTCTGCAAATATCAAAACATGCACAGACACAAAACATGAAGAGCTGTGAAGGGTAATGCCTACTACATTCAAAAGATGCCCCTCATTATAAAGCGTGCCATGTTTTATATTTGATACTGAATATCTTATTGTCACTGGCAGTATGGCAGGAAGGTAAGTTATGCATTACTTTCGATGTCATCAACAAACAGGCTGTACACTAGTGTGTGTGACACAGTGAGGAACTCAGGATGAAGAATGTTTGATTTTGTTGTTCTGATGGCCCCGTGCCTGCCTAAGATGCTCTTGGAACGTAACTATGAATGTGTTCAGACAAATATTTTCCACTGCATATTACATGCTGATCCTCTCGTATGTCATGCTGAGTCAGGCTGCTCCAGTGTGCAGAAGTCACCTGACTAACAGTCAAATACTCCCTCTGTAGCTAGGTTTCTCAATGTCCTCACTGATACTGACTTCACACCCTGGCTTTAGAATTAATTGTTATAACTTTTTGCTATAGTGATTGATTAGTCATTGTCATTGATGTTTTCCAAATGACATACTTCAGAATTTTCCTATATCATTTGCATTGATGTGCCACAATGCAGAGGACTGTGTCACATTGATGATCAGGGCTGTACTGTACAGTGCAATATTGTTTAACTTAGGTTAAAATGCTTAAGGGACAAATTTAAATATGTATGTAAAAAAATTAAAGTAAAAGTAAAAACTGCAACTGTCAAAAATGTAAGTGATAAATTGTGAACTTATGGTTTTGTCTTTTTTCACTAAAACATTTCCACAAACAGATTTTATGCAGCTCAGTTAAGGTAAAAATGAAAATATAAGGCCAAAATTCACTCAAGATGTTTTATGCAAGTGCCCTCTGAAGTTTATAGTAGTTGTAGTGCATTAGGTAATACAAACAATAAAGAATAAATCTAGATGTGTGTAAACAAACAGCCTCTCCATGTGCAAATACCAAAAAGGTGTTCAGTTACATTTGAAGCCAAAAAAAATATTAAAGTTTGCCTGCTAAAAACTCCTCCTAAATGCTTCTCTGCATTCAATACTTCATACAAAGCATTTTTGCTTAACCTGTTACTGTAATATTAGACAATATTCTGCAACACTGTTACTACTACACTCAGAAACAATGATGTTCCAGTCTGTGAAATTGTAGTATGTTCACATATTATACTCTTTGGAACCTATGAATGACACTGATGTGTTAATTTAATCTGAATTACACCTTGTTAATACACTAAAAATCTACCATCATTTTTTTTATTCAAAAGCGTCAAAAAAATGTAATCCTTGAGATGTAAACAGAGTTCTTCAAAGTGGTTGCATGTGAAATGGTCCATAATAGAGAAACCTACAGACTCTGATTTCTTTATAGTGGTGGTGATGGGATCCAGGGGTCACCAAGTCTGCAACACAAATATAGCCATTTTATTTATTGCCAAAACTGCCAGTGAGCCTACATGTGTCTTCTGAGTTTTACATGTAATGTTGATGATGGCAAAATAGTCATACATCTGATAAAATAAGTTTTCATTGGGGACTATTTTGCCTTGCAACACCCTTCATGTACCCTTTCAACATGAATGGGTTAAAATAGTGGATTAAATACATTTTAAGCCAAAACCTGATCACAAAACTGTCATAAAACAATGTCACAGACATCAGACAGCATGTATCTAACAGCTTCATATAATAACTTTCTATGAGGGAGCTTTCAGAGACATTAAACTCTTCAGACGTCTGGTTCCTATCACCACCTCTGTGAATAATTATCATACAGGACGTTTCTCTAGAACAGAGCCTTTCACACCAAACCACACCGAGTGACATTGTTTACATCTCAGCCATTTTATTTTATAGAATTTTAAAAATATCGGTGGGTATCCCCTTTAAGCTGTGACGTGTATCTCCTGATGAATTTCTACTCAGCAGTCTTTGATCTTATCTTCTTCAGCTGCAGTAAGCCGAATACCTTGTGGTTCTGAAAATGTACTCTCACTTAGCCTCCTTTCACATTCAATTAGAAAGGATAAAGCGAAGGGCAAGGAAAGTTCAGATCTTCTTTGAAGTGTCCCAATCCTTCAGTGACACACTGGAAATGTTAATTTTATAAAGACAGTAACATCTACTTCCCCTGAAACCACATTAACAGGCCTTTAACCTGATAACCCTGATGAATCAGATGTTCCTTGAAGATGGTCCATCAAGGATATTACACTTAAGATGGTGCTGAAGATGCGCTTTAAGTAGCTCCAACCCTCTGCTAACCAAAAGCATTTTCTTGGAGCAGGACCAGAATTCTGGCTAATACTGTCCTGCTCTCTCCTTTCCTCTCTGTCTACTTTCTGTCCTCTGTAGGATGAGAAGAACCAGATGATGACAACCAATGTCTGGCTGAAACAGGCGAGTCAAGTATTTTGACTTCTAATTTGTTTAGAAGATGAAATTCGTAAATAATGCCATCACTGCTTTTCAGTTTGTTTTGTGTTGTAGAATAAATGTTGAGCGTGAAATTAGTATTAGCATTAGTTAGGGTTTAGTATGAGAATCTAAGGTATATGAGGTTTATGGTGTAGATAAAGCCATGTGTTGAAGGGGAACATAAGGCATGTACATTTTTTTTAGCCAAAAATATTATTATTAATAATAATATTATACTGGTTCTGAAGGGGGTGGCACGGCGGCGCAGTGGGTAGTGCTGTCGCCTCACAGCAAGAAGGGCCTGGGTTCGATTCCTGGCCGGGTGACCAGGGTCATTTCTGTGTCGAGTTTGCATGTTCTCCCCGTGTCTGCGTGGGTTTCCTCCCACAGTCCAAAGACATGCAGTCAGGCCAATTGGACATGCTAGATTGCCCCTAGGTGTGCGTGTGTGTGAATGTGTATGTCTGTCTGTCTGCCCTGCGATGGACTGGCGACCTGTCCAGGGTGTATCCTGCCTTCCGCCCAATGACAGCTGGGATAGGCTCCAGCACCCCACTGCGACCCAGAAGGATAAGTGGTTTAGATGATGGATGGATGGATGGTTCTGAAGGCGAGGCTAATCATGGCTGTGTTCTATGTAGGCTAGGAAGTACTGAGGGAGTCTAATGCAGAGTCTAAGGGGGAAACAGGACGTAGCTTAGCTTTGAGCAAATTGTTTGTCAAAATTCTTTTATGTATGACGTGGCTGTGGCCAACTACAGCTAATTAATAAAGCACAATGTCTTGCACATAAGCAGTGTCCTCTTTAATAGCAGTGAACGGAAGAATAGCCGAGCTGTTGATTTATATGATTATGTTTAAAATGATGTTTTAACTATTGTAAAATGTTCTCTGTCTGCAGGTGCTTTTCCAGACACTTTTAAAACTTCATATACCAAACCTTAAGTACCTGTTTATGTTCAAATACATAATCTTAGATCTGCAGATTCTGGCCTTCTGCAAACACCTTCCATAAAATACAGAAAACGTGGAGAAGCCTCTTTCAGTTATTATGATTCTGACCTGTGGAACTCGATTCCACCTTTTATTAGACAGTTAAGCTCACTTTTAAGAAAGATTTAAAAAAAAACATATCTCTTAAATGTAGTGTTTAATGAAAACTCTACATCTCTTGGTATTTATCTTTTAATTTAATCTGTGTCCTTTTCTTATATGATTTTAAATTAAACTCATAATTTCTTTTAGTACTGTTAAGCTTTATCACCTGTCTGTAAAGCACTTTGAGCTGCCACAGGCATGAAAAGTGCTATATACATGTTTATTATTATTGTTATTGTTCTTGTTATTGTTATTGTTATTGTTGTTGTTGTTGTACAGTAAGGACCTATAGTTGTGTACAATTAAGCCAAAAGTAGTGTGAGTGTAAATGGTACAACTTACCCCATAGACAGGTGTAACAGCTGAGGGGCTAATTGTAAATTTTGCTGGAAAAATATGGTAGATTGACATGAACACTGTTAAGTGAACATAATTCAGTGTTTTGTTTTTTGACTGAGGCACACTGCAGGGCAGCCAATCAGGGCAGAGGTCATTTACATGTATCAGTCTGAAAAGCACAGTAAAAAATCACCCTCTTAATTCTGAGGTATAAACAGAGGCTTAAAAATGGTCATGTAAAAATGAGTGATGACTATTTCTACTAAATAAGTCACACCAACATTATAACTGAACCTCAAGGAAAAAAAGATAAAATATAAGCAAAATGTGGAACGTGCATCAGATGATGTTGCTACAGAATTACAGTACAAGAAAGTGTCCACCACATTTACTTGAATCTACATAAAAATCTGTTCCATTTTACCTTGTGTTAGGTTGTGCCCTGCATTCCCCTATATGCATACAGATAGGCTTACCCTGTGGAAAATGATGACTACACAGTTTATGACAATGAGAGAATGATATGCAGTGACTCAAACATTCATCTTCTTCAATAAGATCAAAGCAGTAATGCTCGATCTCAGGATGAGGATGAAAGTAATAACCTCTTGGATCTTCTCATCCAGGAATGGAATGACTACAAACTGAGGTGGAAGCCTTCTGATTATGACAATGTGACATCCATCAGGGTGCCATCAGAGCTCATTTGGGTTCCAGACATTGTGCTGTACAACAAGTGAGTAATATTAAACTAACCACAAACAGAAAACTTCACGACATAAAAATATTTTCATCTAGCCATTTATTTGTAAGAAAATCAGGGCTGAGGTGATGGATGATGACTGCAAATGCTGTGTAGGGCATGCAAAATGCTGAATCGGCCCACTTGAGCATTCCAGAGGTGAGATGAGGTTATCTGCTATGTTATCACTGCTGTAATACAACACCACATTTATTACTCTCTCTCAGACACAAAGTCTTTCCCAACACATCAAAAGACCACCACCTGCTGTTCTTCAGTGGTATTACAGCTTCAGTGGCAGTGTAGCGTCGCTTGAACTTGTGTACCCCTTTTGTCACTGGAGGACCCGTCTTTGGGAGAAAAAAAATCCGAAATGCATTAATTATATCTGTGAGTGCACCAGATGGATGATTAATCCTTTATGATTTGCCCTGTAGCTGCCACTTATGTGCTTGTTGTAATTGCAGTTCTGCCTAATTATTGTCATTAACTAGCTCAAAATTATATTATTGGAGGTGAAGTTTTTTGCTATGATGTGCTGAATTAAACAAAGTCATTATGCCACATGCAAGTCTGTATATCTACATTAAGACAAGCACAGAGCTTCATCATTTCTTCAGCAGAATTATTAGTCATGTCTAATTCTGAGACAAAAGCATTAGTAGGGACCATCAACAATACGTGACATTAAGATGTCTAATTTATGAATAAGAAATGGTGAAGTGCAATTGCTTGTGGTTCAAAACAGGGTCATAAAACAGCACACAAACTGCAAGGAATGTATTAGAAGTTGTGATTGTGTTTATGTATTTAATCTTAGGCATATCTCATTTGCTCTTCAATATTAACCCTTAGAGATGCAGAATTATTTTTGCTACACATTCATGGAATTATAAAACTGCAAACTTCAGAGACCACTCTTCATTTATTTGACTTGCAGTCAAAACAGCCATTGAAGCTTTCATTCTTTTCAGGAGACTTGTTTTCAGTTTGCCAAAGAAATATGCAGGAATATTTTTCCACACCTCCAAACTTCTTCCACACCGCCTCCTTTCTTTTCTCAGTATTGGCTTTTTGGCAGTTACACATTTATTCAGACCAATAATGTGTCTTCTGACAGTGAAAAGGTGGACTATACATAATTATGATTTACATAAAAAATACATTTACATTCAGTTTACACTCATAGGGATCCACAAGTTGGAGTCTGCAATTCCAACTTTTTTGATGTTAAATATTACAAAATAAAAAAAAGTTTTTTACTTTAAAACATCTCTGCTTCTAAACACTTTAATTATCGATAGAAATATTAGAATCTGCCTGCTTGACAAAATATCTCAGCTTGTTTCAGTGAGCTATATGTTTAATATATTACAACATGCATGTTTTGCCCAATGATAACTGTGATTTCTAAAGCTTAAAATGGGAAGTCATATTTGGCTGTGTTCCCTTTTCAGTGCTGATGGGGAGTTTGCTGTGACTCACATGACCAAAGCCCATCTCTTCTACACTGGCAAAGTGCGCTGGGTCCCCCCAGCCATCTACAAGAGCTCCTGCAGCATCGATGTCACATTCTTCCCCTTCGACCAGCAGAACTGCAAGATGAAGTTCGGCTCATGGACATACGACAAGGCCAAGATCGACCTGGAGCGCCTGGAAACTACGGTGGACCTAAAGGACTACTGGGAGAGTGGCGAGTGGGCCATCATCAATGCTGTAGGCACCTACAACACCAAGAAGTATGATTGCTGCCATGAGATCTACCCAGACATCACCTACTTCTTCATCATCCGCCGCCTTCCTCTCTTCTACACCATCAACCTCATCATCCCCTGCCTGCTGATCTCCTGCCTGACCGTGCTGGTCTTCTACCTGCCCTCAGACTGTGGCGAGAAGATCACTCTTTGCATCTCTGTGCTTCTCTCACTGACTGTCTTCCTCCTGCTCATCACAGAGATCATCCCGTCCACCTCATTGGTCATCCCGCTCATTGGCGAGTACTTGCTCTTCACTATGATCTTTGTCACGCTCTCCATCATCATCACCGTCTTTGTGCTGAACGTCCATCACCGCTCACCTGGCACCCATGAGATGCCACGCTGGGTACACGCCGTCTTCCTGGAGCTCATCCCCCGCTGGCTCTTCATGCGCAGGCCAGCGCCTGACAGCCGCCGTAGGCAGAGGCTGCTGCTCCTGCAGCAAGGTCAGAGGTCACGGGCTCCTGGAGCATCCTGCCTGAGCACTTCAGCCAGCTGGTTCAGGGAGGAGTCGAGGACCTGCTGCTATGAAGATCTGGAACTGGGTACACTTTCCTCTGCTTTTTCACTCACCTTTCGCCCTCCTTCACCCCGGCCGCCAGGCTCCACGCCGCCACCACTGCAGAAGCACGGAGCTCTGCCCAGACAGGAGGGGGGCGTGACATGTCTGCCAAACTCCAGGCATCCAGGAGCTAGACTAAACCACAGCAAGCGGCCCACTGAAGACAACCAGAGGTCCCCTCTGTCTCCCAGCATCATGCAGGCACTTGAGGGGGTTCACTACATAGCAGACCATTTGAGAGCAGAAGATGCCGACTTCAGTGTAAGTGTTTTGCTGAATGGGTGCTGATGTGCGATAGCAGTCAAAAGCTTGAACACACTTGACTGAATGAATGTTTTAAAGATATTTTGATGATTGAGTTTGAGAAATTGCTAGAAAAAAATCTAATTTATACAACTTTCCACTTACTGCAGATGTAGTCAGCCAAGACATATTTGGTGTCCAAAGTTTGGTTCTTTGGTTTAAATCTGAAGCTACAAGGCTAATGTTGCCAACAAACATTCTTCATGTCCCGCAGACGAGCCTATGGTGATTTAGAACACAGAATCACTTACTGGCAACTATAGTGATGAACAAAACTTCACCATGTATCTGATCGCAGCGGTCAGCATTTGTAGACAACTGGTATGCCAAATTATACCACCCCACGCAAGAGCCATTTCCCTTTTATATGCATGCACGAATTCTATCTTATAATCATTATTTCATTGTTTATATTTCTTAATACCTTTCATTCAAAAACACAAGATTAACAGTTATTATAAAAAGAAACAACAGAAATTGTGAACATAATCTGTGGCATCCATATTCCATAGTATTGCCCGCAGTGTTCAGCTATACGTGGAAGTTTCATTCATTTTTTAGTTCATAGTGAGAGATACTCTTTTGTAAACCACGTTGAGAATTCTGCACAACCAAGGAAGAGCTGGATGTAGTTGGAAGAGCTGGACATAGAGTCTAGTGCCAAAATAAAGAAGCAAAATTTGCATGCCGGACTTGTTTTGGCTGATCAACGACATCTGAGGTAAATTAAAAATTGTGTGAATTAGACTTTTCATCAAGCCACTCCTATAAGTATAAATGCTGGAAAATTGTTTTTAAGACAAAAATAAGATGTACAGATTCTTTACTACAATATACAACCCCATTTCCAAAAAAGTTGGGACGCTGTGTAGAATGTAAATAAAAATAGGATGCAATGATATGCAAATCATAAATGGTCATTTAAACCATATTTTTAAAGGAAAATACTACAAAGACAACAAATGAAATGTTGAAACTGAATTTTATTGCTTTTTGAAAAATATATGCCCATTTTGAATTTGATGCCAACAACATGTTCCAAAAAAGTTGGGACGGGGGCATGTTTACCACTGTGTTTCATCACCTCTTCTTTTAACAGCACTATGTATGTATTTGGGAACTGATGAGACCAACTGCTGTAGTTTTGTAGGCAAATGTTTTCATTGGTGTCAGGTCTGGACTGCAGGCAGGCCAGTTTAGCACCTGGACTCTTTTAATATGGAGTAATGCTGTTGTAATACGTGCAGAATGTGGTTTGACACTGTCTTGCTGAAATAAGCAAGGCCTTCCCTGAAAAAGACGTTGTCTGGATGGCAGCGTATGTTTACAAAACATGTATATATCGTTGCATTAATGTTGCCTTCACAGATGTGCACATCACCCCTGCCATGTGCACTAATGCACCCCTATACCATCATGAATACCGGCTTTTGAACTGTGCACTGATAACAAGCTGAGTCCAGTGTCCATGATTTCCAAAAAGAATGTTAAATGTTGATTCGTTGGACCACAGGACACTTTTCCACTTCCCCTCAGTCCATTTTAAATGAGCTCAGGCCCAGAGAAGGTGGCAGCATTTCTGGATCATGTTTATATGTAGTTTCTTCTTTGCGTTTTAGAATTTTATCTTGCATTTGTGGATGCAGTGACGAACTGTTTTCACAGACAGTGGTTTTCAGAAGTGTTTCTGAGCCCATGCAGTGATTTCCATTGGAGAATCATGTCTTTTTCTAATGCAGTGACACAACTTTACCAGCCTTTTGTTGCCCTGTCCTAACTTTTTTGGTATGTGTTGTTGGCATCAAATTCAAAATGGGCATATGTTTTTCAAAAAACAATATAATTTCTCAGTTTCAACATTAGATTTGTTGTCTTTATACTCTTTTCAATGGAATATAGAGTTTAAATTAATTGCACATCATTGCATTTTGTTTTTATTTACATTTTGCACAGCGTCCCAACATTTTTGGAAATGGGGTAGTACATTTTAAATAAAAAAATGCAAACCAGTCAACAAATGTTCAGCATACACTGAGCTCTTTTGGAAAAGCATCCCAGGTGACACAGAAAGCTTTTTGAAAGAATGTCAATAGTTTGCAGAACTGTTATGAGAGGCCACTGACCACCCCGACCACTCATTTAAAACCGTGCGTGCTTTGTGCCTGTGTTGTCAAATCAACTTGAAATTTAAAGTCAACCTTCTGCAGGGTTTTTTTTTCTCTCAGACTTATGACCATGAAGGGCTGCGGAGTCACTGCTTTTTCAAATTAAGCTCAACTTAAACTTTATTTTGTTGACCTAACTTACAAACAGTACTTGAATGTTAGGATAACTTGACTAAGTTAAGAAAATTTTAAAAAGCTATATGCAGAAGGCTGACTTAAAATCTCAAGCTGAACATACTTTGATTTTTATTATAATAGTTTAGTAGTTTAAAATGTTCATAATTTTAGACTTTCTAACTTTTTGTAGTCTAGCCAGCCACTCAATTTGATCTCCCTGATCTTTTGGAACAGGTTAAAGAGGACTGGAAGTATGTTGCCATGGTGATAGATCGGATCTTCCTGTGGATGTTCATCATTGTGTGCCTACTGGGCACCATCGGCCTGTTCCTCCCCCCCTGGCTGGCTGGCATGATCTAGAGCTTGGCCACTCGCACACTCATAGACACGTAAATGCACTGTGAGAACACATCAGGAACGCTACATGTGGAGGAATCATGGCAAAACAAAGTGCTCCTTCAACAGAAGAAAAAGACCATTGAAGAGTAAGAAATTCCTTGCAGTGAACAGTCGCTGCTGTGCACGAGCCCAGAGAGCAAACTTATCTCTGAATGTACAACCTTGCAGTAAATACTGTTGAATAAAATGTGGCACCTTAAAAAAGAAGTGTGAGTAATGTCTCTTTCTCTCTCAGTGTCTTTCTTTCTGTCTCTCTCTCTCTGGCACTCATGGATCAGTGGATCAGGTTCTGAGGCAGTCAGATTTAGAGGATGTGATGTGTGCTGGCATAACCTCAGGGAGCAGTGAAGTGTAGGCCGGGTAGTTATAATCCTACATTGGCCTGCATCTGAGGATCGATTTCTTTTGTTTTGAACCTCTTGAAATCACAGGCTTATTTTATACTAAGGCTTATTACTCAGTAACTACAGGGACTTAAGTGCAAACTGGTTGAGCTATTCTTAGGTTATAGAAGTTTGTAATAAAACTTTGGGCCCACTGGCAGGAACTAGCCTTTCAAGGGGTTAAATATGATGATTGCACCAAGATGTAGGCAATATTGTACTCATCATTTCTTTGTTTAAGTAGCAGCCATTTAAGTTGCGATCCTATTATACACCTGTTACTACAGCTTCTGTTTTATTCAGCAGACTTGCTTTCAGATTTTTGAAGAAATCTGCAACCACATTTTGCACACCCCCAAAGTTCAGTCTTAGAAGTTGGTTGCATGTTCTGCTTCTTGTGATCCAAGTAATCCCAGTTACATTTTATATTCATAAGTCCAAATAATTCCAAAAACGTTCAGTGACACTGAGTTCTGGACTCTGGGGTGGTCAGTCCATTGTTCTCAGAACACCAGTAGCTTCTTTCTTTAATTTGCAAATTTTCCTATTTCTGTCTATTTTCTTTTCTCAGCAATGGCTTCTTGACAGCTACACATCCTTTCAGACACAAAGCACTAAGTTGTCTGTTCTTTCAGATCTGAAGTAGCTTGATTTGCTCCTCTCTCTCAAAGACAAAAGCTTTAAGTTCTGTTTATCTGATGGTGACAGATTTGGTGGTCAACCAGGTCTTGCATTGTTGTTAGAAGTTCCATTTTCTCTATGTCTTTTAATCATTTTTTAAACTCCAGTTTGAGAACTCCTCCTTTTCACTTATTTCTCTTTCACTTCTACCTTCTATATGCATGTTGAATATTTTATATCTAATCTCCACAGATATGTTTTGTGAAACATGAATAACTTGTACTTAATGGCCCTTTTGACTGGAATTTAAATAAATCTCTGGGTCCTGACTTTTGCTGTACTGTAGTGTAGATAGACAGACAGACAGATAGATATGGATAGATAGAACTGGCCTTTGGGGAATCAATACTCATGGGTTCAGAAAGGCAAAGATGCTGACAAAACTGGTTCCATTAGTTTCATCCTGTCACAGGACATGAAATTTATAGAGAGGTCTGTTCAGAACATCCTTGATAAATTTTAATAAAATGAAATGAGTCTGAATAGTCTTGTGGATAATTTATCTATAAAATCACGTTCACTGAAGAGTTCACTAGATGATCTGGTACACTGCCAAAGAAAGTAAATCAGAAATTAATTCAACTCCAACAGCAGGAGGTAAAAAATTGTAATGCTTAAGGTACTAAGACAGCGCTCACTTTTGACATAATACCTTTTAATGACACTGTTAGTTTAGTGTTTGAGAACACAGCAACACTGAGATTTGTGAGAGTCTGAGGTACACATATATTTAAGTCTTAAGTTCATAGCTCCTAAAAATAAGCATGCGATTCCATGCATGAATACAACACAAATTAATCCTTTCTTTTTGATAATTTAGAAATGATTTATGAATTTATCCAAGAAATGTTCGATTGATTTACAAATTTAGACCAACAAGAGTAGAAATTGGACAGCCACTGTAAGGTCCTGTGCTGACACTATTCTAAAAATACTCCCAAAACTCCTTACACTGCAACCTACTATAGCAGGTTTTTGATCACATTACAACATGCTTGAATGCACCATATAGACATTGTATTGTAGATTAAGTCCTGCACTGCTCCAAGAAATCTGCCCAACTACAAAGTTTAGTTCCCTAAAATATCATATCTAAGTCTAATTTTAAGATGCTTCTTGAGTCCTTTATACACTGACTGGATTTCTTGGAGCTAAATTCTGCAGGAGAGTCCACCTTTGGGGCACGGCTGGGCACCTCTGTCCAAGACTAAAATGGATACCAAATGAATAACTTCAGGACCAGTCATAATCAGTATCCAGGAAACTGACTCTCAAAGGTATCCAGATGTGGAATACCAAGTTTATGAATCAGCATTTTTGTTAGCTTAAAATGAACCAAACAATCTCTAGTTTGTATCTGTGGAGACTGCATCCTCAGATTTGGGTTTGGCCAGGTTGGCACGCACCCGTGCCTGGTCCACGGCGTCCAGCAGGTTCTTGGCGTCCATGGCCAGAGTATGAGCTGCTGCCAGCATCTGCTTCTTGCAGTCCTCCTTCAGAGAGGTGATGGCGTTCTGCTGGGCCAGCCGCATCTTACTGATCAACTCTGCCATGTCTTTATTCAGCAGCTTCTGTGTGCCCTCAATCTGAAAAAAGAGAGTGATGCCATAAGACCCTCATATTAATGCTTTGACTCACTTCTAGTCATCTTCTAATGAGCTGCTGAATAGTTCTTCACTCTCTTGCTCTACCTGAATACGGTTAATGGTGGAAACGTGTTTGCATGATTTTATACACTGTGCTGCTGCCACATAGTTGGCTAACTGTATAATTGCAACATTGTACAGGTGTTCCTAACAAAGCACTCAATGAGCGTATATTTTAATTAGCTGGTACAAAAGGGAATTAACATATAAACTCCAACATTAACTAGCATGAAAAAAATGGTAAAATAAGAAATATAAACATTTGTATAATGCTGAAGAAGCTAATGCCATTCCAGGCATGGATACAAGAAAAAAGGAATCCCTTCTTTTTGATAGTTTAAAAGGATGTATGAATAAATATAATAAATACTGTGCATTATATAAGAACATAGAACACAATATATAAGGGCAAGAAAATTGGAAAGTAAACTAGGTAAAATGTCTCCAAGGCAAAAGTGAGAGACAGTGGCTAAGTATAGACTTTACCTCTGTTCTTACAGAACCATGCAGAGATGGAAGGATATCATCTACACTGTGAATCAGATCCCGCAATGACAATCCAACGGACTGAGGAAGAAAGAAAAAATGTGAAATGAAAGACCACAGTACAAAAAAATGACCAAGCCTACAATACTGACTAAGACCACTATATTGGATAACTCAGCAGGAGTGTACATCTCCAGAGATACGGCTGGGCATCTGTGTCCAAGAGTAAAACGGATACGGAATGAATAACCTCTACAGATTGGAATGTATTTCAGAACCAGGCTTAATCAGTATCCAGGAAACTGGCCCTCAACGTTATCCAGATATAGAATGCCACATTTATGAGTCAGCATGTCTGTTAGCTTACAATGAAGCTCTGTCTCTAGTTTGTGTCTGGACAAACTGTATTGTCCAAAGTGTAGGTCTGGCTAAGTTAGCACTCTGTCTTTCCTAACATTGGCAAGTACAGCAGATTTTCTGTATCTACCTTATCAGTGCACACTTAACCCTGTAATCCTATTAGATTGACCCCTTGAATGGCCAGGACCAGATCCAAAATTTTACTACATGCTGAATAATAAGCGGTGGTAATGTAATAAGTCTGTGATTTTAAGGAGTTTTAAAACCTTGAAGAGTTACCTTGACTATGGTTATGTACTCAGAGGATGGCAGTGTGTTTACATCGTTTTTCAGCTGCACGATCACTTTAACCAGATCCATGACATACTGATACACCTTGTCCTCTGAGCGGTCCAACTCTGCTGTCGGGGCAGGCTGACAGAGAGGGCACAACAGCAGATTTAAAATGCTGAGCAGTCATAAAAACATGTAGAAGTGTGTAAGTCTGTTTAAAATGTACATCTGTGTATTCATTACCTGCACTGAAATTCTTGGGGGCTTTGCAGGAGGCTTCTGAGGGTCAGCTATAATGGCATTTTAAAAGACAAAGTTAGGCAAGTCAAAGAAAGGATAGCAAGCACTTTTTTACAATAGACTGCAACTAGCCCAAATACTCTAGTGGATATATTTGCATTTTGTCATCTTCAGGTTTCAATGTGAATTATGCAGCTAGCTGTTTTCTACAGGCTACAACTGAAATGTTTCCAGTGTTTACAATTTTGGTATTAATGTTATGGATTTCATTCATTGGCTGCCACGTTGTCCTCTGGGCAACTCAACAAAGAACACTGCTCTAGTGAGTCAACTAGGACAGAACAGAAGGCTTACCCTGACTAGTTGGAGGGTCTGGTGGCTAAGAGGAGACAGTGAGAAAACAAGAAAGGACAATTTTTAATAAAGTGATGCAAGTCAATAGGACTATGGTCAAAGCTGGGTATCTATCTTAAAATAAACAGTGGGGTCAAAAGGCTACTATTGAAAATGTTTGAATTGCAACCTATAAATAATGCAGAATATTGAACTTTTCTTCATTTTACTTGTTAATTTTCCTTGTTTATTTATTTATTTATTTATTTATTTATTTTTTTATTCCAAAAATTATTCTTGTGCATTTCCAGGTCTAAAAGAAAAAATCACATAATTTCCATGTGGTCTCAGACTTTTGGACCCCACTGCAAATGCTGAAGTGTTTGACAAAACACACATTTACTTATCATATCCAGAATGCAGAAAGACAGAAATACGTTTAACCACATCTAGTCCCAGGCTACCCAAATTATCTCTTTAATTAATGTCAAGATGATGGATGCACCATTTGGGCTACACAGTAAATATGACTAACTGAATTATCATCAGTAATAAAAAATATGCCAGTTCAGTTATTCAGCACCACTTAACTTAATATCATGCTAATATTGGATAATTCCCCCATAATGTTATATATGTATATATATTTATAACATGCCACTATGTTGGTACCATGGTGGTCCCTTCCCACTGGGTAGCAGATAAATTTACAGCAACAGATGGGCTACAGACAGTAATTTTACATCTACAAAGTGCACAAATTTGGAAGGTGTAGCTGACAAAACAGGAGCTACAAGGTATACCTAATAAACTGACAGCTCAGTGTATAACAGCAGAAAATGGACAGACTAAAGACAACTTACCAACTGTACAACAGTCTTCTCCTGAGCCTTGGGGTCCTTAAAAAAGAGTAACACTCATGAAAATCAATAAGAATGCATATCATGAGACTCTCCTGAAGAAAAGTAGCACAACTCAACACAAATTATAAGCATTAAAGCTACAATATGTAAAATTTGGGGATGTGGGATTTTTTTGAGACCTCTGTGGTGGAAATGTATAACTGCAATTAAAAGGACTCCTTCCTTAAGCAGATGAATCTGATGATTGCGAGCATGTTGAAAGAGTATTCAAAGAGAACTCAGTCAAAACTTGGTGAAAAGCCTGTCTTCTGAGGATATAAGTGTCATTGTATCTTATATCTTCAATATGTCATCATATCTTCAACAGTATAATGTTGATTTTGCACTTGAGATCTAAACACCTAGCCAGACCTTCTTTTTGAGCCTGTGCATGTGATTTTAATATGTAAAGACATTTCAGTATGTTAGAGAGTAAAGGAGTAGTAAAATATTGCCTTCTCACC